TCAAGGCCAGTGCAGTGGCTCTCACCTACAATCCTAGCACTCTGGGAGGCCGAGGCGGTGGATGGCTTAAGGTATTTTTTTTTTTTTGATCCAAAAGTTATCTAGAAGTGTTTCTTAATTTCCAAGACATTCAGAATGTTTTGGTCCTTTTTTTAGTTCTAATTTTATTGGATTAAGATCAGATGATGTGGTCTATAAAATCTCCATTATTTAAAAATTAATACATTTATTTATTAATTTTTTTTGTGGCCCAAAGTATAACTAATTTTTGTAAGTGACAGACTTAAAAGAAGAAAATATTCCTATGTAAGCTATGTAAGTTTCTCTATGGATCTTTTAAATTGAGTGGTGCTTATATTATTCAAATATTCTATGCTTTTATAAATTTTTTATTTTGAAAAATGTTGATCAAAAACTTCTATTACAATTAGATGTTTATAACGGAAGAAAAAGCATACATTACTTTTATAATCAAGAAACAATATCAAAAACAAAATAGATGGCAAGGAATTAGGAAAAAATTAAAATTTTGCCTTATCAAAATACATGATTAAAAAAAAAATCCATGTTTAACTTTTTTTTTTTTTTTCGAGACAGTGTCTCACTCTGTTGCCTAAGCTACAGTGCCATGGAGTCAGCCTAGCTCACAGCAACATCAAACTCCTGGGCCAAGCAATCCTCCTGAGTAGTTGGGACTACGGGAATGAGCCACCATGCTCGGCTAATTTTTTCCATATATTTTTAGTTGTCCAGCTAATTTCTTTCTATTATTTTAGTAGAGACAGGGTCTTGCTCTTGCTCAGGCTGGTCTTGGGCTCCTATGCTCAACGGATGCACCCACCTCAGCCTCCCAAATTTGCTAGGATTACAGGCATGGCTCACATTTTTTTTTTTTTTTTAGAGACAGTGTCTCACTCTGTCATACAATGGCATGGTCATAGCTCATTACAGCCTCAAACTTCTGGGCTCAAGCAATCCTCCCACCTTAACCTCCAGAGTCACTGAGCTTACAGGTGTGAGCCACCATGCAGGCCTCCCATATTTAACATTTAGTCTTTTGTTTATGCTAACCACATATGTATTTTGTATAGGAAAATTTGTTTCCTTTGATTCTTGTTTTGCTTTTTAATAAATGCTTGCTTTGATGCAGATTAATAAAAAGTACAATATATTTTAACTGTGATAACTATACTCCCAAAAAATTGCACTTACGTTCGCTGGGAGATTGCTCTGTCGGGGTTTCTGTATCAAGATGTGAACTTGAAGAAGTATAAAGAACTCCCTTATTGTTATTCTCCCATCTTTGAGTTTCTGAGAAAAGAGAAAAAATTTGCATGACCATTCAAGGTAGGCTCACTTTGACTTTGACACCTCATTTGTTTCTATACTTCTTTTTTTTTTTTTACAGGAGAATTGGTTGAGCCCAGGAATTTGAGGTTGATGTGAGCTAGGCTGATGCCATAGCATTCTACTCAGGGCAACAGAGTGAGACTCTGTCTCAAGGGGAAAAAAGAGTTACAGTAAGTTATAGTAAGCTAAGTTTAATTATTATTGAAGAAATACTTTTTTTTTTTTTTTTTTGAGACAAGGTCTCACTTTTGTTGCCCAGGCTAGAGTGAGTGCCGTGGCGTAGCACCTGCTCAAGCAACCTCCAAACTCCTGGGCTCAGCGATCCTTGCCTCAGCCTCCCAAGTAGCTGGACTACAGCATGTACCACCATGCCCGGCTAATTTTTGTATATATATTTTAGTTGGTCAATTATTTCTTTCTATTTTAGTAGAGAGCGGGTCTCGCCTCAGGATGGTTTCGAACTCCCAACCTCGAGCAATCCGCCCGCTCGGCCTCCCAGAGTGCTAGGATTACAGGGTGAGCCACCGCGCCGGCCTTGAAATATCTTTTTTTAATAAATTTAGGGTAGCCTAAACATAAATGTTTATAAGTCTACAGTAGTGTACAGTAATGTCCTAAGCCTTCACATTTACTCACTACTTATTCACTGACTCACCCAGGTCAACTTCCAGTCCTATAAGCTCCATTCATGATAGTACCTATACAGATGTACCATTTTTATCTTTTATAGCCATATTTTTTTATTACTGTACATTTCCATATTATAGATATGTTTAGATATACAAATACTATTGTGTTAACAATTGCCTACAATATTCAGTACAGTATTTTTGTACAGGGTTGTAGTTAGAGCAATAGCATATACTATGTAGCCTAGGTATGTAGTAGCTATACCATCAAGGTTTGTGTAAATATACCCAAATGACAAATTTTTCAGAATACATTCCATCGTTATGTAACATATACTGTATACAAATGGTCAATAAACACATGAAAGTTTTACAGCATCATTGCTGTTAAAAATGCAAACGAATACTACAATGAGTTCCATTCTACACTTAGGGTGGCAGCGTGGTGGTCACATCTATATCCTAGCACTCTCTGAGACTTTAGGTGGAGATCACTTGAGTTCAGGAGTGAGACCAGCCTGAGCTGGACCCCATCTCTACTAAAATAGAAAAATTAGCTGGTCAACAAAAACTGAAACATTAGCCACGTTTGGTGCATGCACGCTTGTCCCAGCTACTGGAGGCTTACACAGGAGGATCACTGAGCCAGAGTTGAGGTTGCTGGTGCCAGCTGACACCATGGCACTCTGCCCTGCAAGAGAAGACTTGCTCAAAAAAAAAAAGAAAATCCATAGTAGGGAAAGCCAATGACACATTATATACGACCCATATGAATGGTTCACAGCGTGTATTCTGTTTCAGGCTTGAATGACTAAGTCTCTTTTGGTGGAGGAATTAGAGAGTCTTTTTGAGGCAGGAGAGGGTTGTGCACTAGTCCTCATAGACATGTACTCAGCACCCATTTGTGCGTGCAGTTGCATAAGCACCAGCGACGTGCTGTTGTGGCCGTGACTACCTGCATGCTCATGGAGTGGCTGACAGCACATCAGAGATAAGGTCCCTGATTCAGGCAGTTGGTCTTAGAAAGAGGAAAGCTGACACATACTCTGGATGCGAAGAGGATATATGAGTGGGGGAGTGGGTAGGGAGGATACCCTGGGTGATAGAATGAGGAGGGTGGGGGGAGTAGTGAAGCTGAGTTTGGCTGAGAAGAAGGTCAAGCAGCCGTGAACATCTGGGAATAGCACCAGCTGGGGGGAATGCACATGTCCTTGAGGCAGGAATGAACCCTTGAATGTGTAAGAATCAGAAAAAGAATGAATAGAGACTGAGGGAGCAGTGTGGAGAGGAGTGGAGAGAAGAGGAACACCAACAGGAGGTGAGCTCAGAGATAGACAAGCCAGATTGCAAGGGCCTGCATAAATAAAAAAATGTTTAAAAAGCATAATAACAAACCTCCAGTAAGTAGAGGAACTATTTCAGGGTGTTTCCTGCTAGGTTATAGACCAGATGCTGATTAGTTAGTTGGCACTTGAATCTAGATATTCGAGAGAGAGGTAGCTTGTACACATGGTCCTGAGTTCAAGATGCAGCAAATTATTCCTACCACTGTATATAAGCATCAGGCACTGCATTCTAATGGTCTCCAGTGCATGACCCAATATTCATTGATATTTTTATTCCTGCAAATCTCTGGGGACACATGGTTGTGCTTCATTTTTTGCTTATGAGATTCATGAAAGAACCTCCCCGCTCTGTTAAACTATATTAAGAAATTTAACATATAACAAATAGGAATAGTCTATGGAGCCCCATGTATTATCACCCACTTCAAAATTATCACTCTTGTTTTTGCTCTACTTAGACCACTTTACCCACTCCCATCTATTTGAAGCAATATCCAGGCATATCTGTTTTCTGTAGTTATTCAATATGTATCCCTAAAAAGATAAATACTCTTATTTTGAAACATATCGTATACCTAATCGATCACCTTAAATATATATTCAGTTTGAATTTAATTTCCTCGATCGTCTAAATTTTTCCATGTTAATTAGAATCTAAATGAAGGTTCACTTGCAGTTGTTGAAATCTCTA